CGGGTGGTGAACAATTGCATTGTGCATCACTTATTTTGTATATTCTTTTATCATTATTATTATTATTGTCCCTTCCTTTTCTGTCCTATTAAACTGTCTTTATCTCAACCTACAATTTTTTTTTTTTTTTCCCGATTCTCTCCCGAATCCCACTGCAGGGGGTGGGGAGTGAACGAATGGGTGTGTGGTGTTTAGCTGCCTGCTGGGTTAAACCACAACAGTCACCATCCCTGAAGGTATCTAAAAGACCTGTAGATGTAGTGCTTAGGGACATAGTTTAGTGGTGGACTTGGTAGTGTTAGGTTTACAGTTGGACTTAATGATCTTAAGGGTCTTTTCCAACCTAAATGATTCTATGATTCTATGATAGCCAAGGTTTTTAATGGAGCACTGACATCATTTTTTTTTGGCACTCATACAAATAACAGCAGTGAATGACAAAGGATATCTAGTGGAATGCTCTAAATATTTTCCCTAATCTCATAGTGCATTTCTTAGAATCTGTGCTGATGCCAAAATCTCTGCACTTTAAATACTAGGGAAAAAAGCAGAAAATGCTCAACTTGAATATGTTGGAAGCCTTTAAAAATTGCAGTAAAGGAACACACAGAAAACAAATGTATTCAAGAGGTCTATTTTGTCTCTTTTACAGGGACCTAAGTATATTTCTAAGATCAAACCACAAAATTCTTATCAACAAAGGTTGGGGGGTTTTAGTGACATTTTTAGTAAACTGATGGTGTAATCATTAGAAAATGCATCTTCATCACACATTTTACAAATACTATTTTCTGCGTTCTAACTAGTGCAACGTTGTTTCAAAATATAAAAATGTATAAGAAAATAGTTTAAGACAAACTGTATTTTTCTGGAAATTGAATTCTATACTCTGCAACTCACAATGTGTATATCAACTGCAAACAAGCAAAAGGAAGACACACTTTACTAATATATTGGTTCATGAAGTGAAAGAAGGCAAAAACCAAATCTGCCTGGTTTCTCTCCACACCTCCCATGAACTAAGAAGTGACAAAATTGTAACTTAACATAATACATGATTGGAGGAAAATCTATTTATGGAAAGTTGATTGTCTGACTGCAGATACATATGTAGACAAAAAAAAAAAACCCAGAACAACTGGTTTTGTAACTTGAAGTACTCAAGGCATTGATTTCTAAACCTTGAAAGAAGAAACTGTTATTTCTCTTTTCTTTTATAGAAATGATTGAAATTTCAAGGTCCTCTTAATTTGCCTTTTTATTTTCTATTTTGTCTAAAAGGAATAATTGTTTTTTAGACTAGTTCAGGAGTCGTATATGCCAACCTCTCAGACACAAATATCAAAGGACATTTGTTAGAAATGCTCTAGAGGCAGGATGAACTGGAAGAACAGGCAAATGTTTTCATCTGACCTTTTCTGTTGCTGCCATCCCTGGAAATCTGATGACCTTGCCACTCAGAGCTGGTGGCAAGCTCAGTAGCTAGAAATTGTACATGGTAGAGTGAGACTTTACTGGAAGGCAGAAAAAATCTGGATGAACTTCTGGAAGGAATGGTATTGCTTGTTATCACTACAACTCTAGTATTTGTATAGCTTCAGAAATGTGTTACCTTCTTCCTTACTGAAACGAAGGTGTGTCTGCTCTTCAGATCTCTTGCATATAACAAACTCACAAGCAAGTGCATCCCTCGAATCCTGCGAATGGCTCTAATGAAGTCAGTAGCATCACTTACAAAGGCAGCTTCTGGTCTGTAATAGGCTATAGTCTCAGTTTTGCCCTCTGGATCCAGTGTCAGTGTAATTTCTTTTTATGAACTTGGTCAGCCTCCACTACTAGAATACCATGTTATAAGGAATTAACCCTCCCAACATTCATGTATAGAAAGTGAGTATTACTTACCCATACTCCACTTCAGTGTTTTGACTAACTCTCTCCCCTGACTGTAAAAGGAAAGGCCTTTTATGTTTACATTATCAAATAGTGTTGCTCAATAAAAGTAGATTTTGGTTGGGCACCCAACATCTACATTGTCTGCCTTCTGGAGGGGAGGGGAAGAGTTCCTTAGGACTAGCTCTAGTCAGGCCCTATTCACTAAGTCCTGTTACTGGTTGGAAAGCTCTAATTTGCACACCTGTAGCACATCTTCCACTTCAGTTTCATCTGAGAGACATTTTGTCAGCTTCATTCCGAGGCTTTTCCATAATGTGAACAAAAGCATAGTGGGAGGGCAGAAATAGGAGGTTCACTTAAAAAATGCACTGCTGATCTGAGCTAACACACTAATGTGGATACAATTGATGACAACCAAACCGTGGTTTGGGTAAATGGGTCAGTTGGAACCCATTAGACATAATAGGTGTAATGTCATTTTAAGCAACTTTGATAATGTGCAGAAGAGACCAAGAGGGAATTAACGTGCCTACTTTTCACCTGATTTTCATAGCTTCCATTTGAAAAGTAGACTAAATACTGACTGAATGTTCTTCTAATCAAAATTAGAGGAATATATGATGTGGCACTAACAGTAGACTAAATACTGACTGAATGTTCTTCTAATCAAAAACTAGAGGAATACATGATATAGCACTAACAGTACTTATACCAAAATTATGTTGTTTCTTCCAAATCATTCTAAGTTTATTGTTATTAATTCAGTGTTTAATTCTATGCGTACAAATGGTTAGATTAGTTATAAAGAGGAAGGAAGGAGAAAATAATTTAAACCGCTGAAAATGGAATTGGTTTCTGTGTTCATGGCATTATGATATCTTGGCAAGCCACAGATTCCAATTTTCTGGTAGCTGTGAATCAAGATTTTCTAAAAAACTTTGAATGGCTATCTCAGAGACTGAACAAAGACTCACCAGTAGGTAATTTACTGGGGTTCTGAAGAATAGCTAGGGATTAAGTTCTAATTTTTTTTGATATCTAATTATATTACCCATTAACAGAGCATTTCAGCTACCTAAATTTCCCTCAGTGTGCTTGGTTTCATACCTATTCAAGTCAATGACAGAGCTCCCACTGGAGATTCAGTCAGAATCAGCTTCCTACAGAATAGAAACACATTTTTGAGAAGTTCTACCTCTATGACTAATTCTGATATTTGATGCCTTTCTACCTGATTTCACAGCTGGGGAGGGTTGTAGGAACTTCAATTGACAACAACACAACCAAAATATACAAATCCAAGTAATAAGCCAATTAATTTAAATTGAGCACTGGGTGGTTATGGAAGGTGACTACAAGAGCAGATTGCTTCTCTCTTCTGTGCAAGAGAAGCTGAGAATAGAGCTTCTTGGTACATCTCGGTGACCTGGTGAGAGCTGGGAGAGCTCTACCATTTCCAGTTGCAGCTTAAGTCCCTACTGCAAGATTTGGTGCAGTGTCTGCAATTGAGGGCTTCTGTCATTGTTTCAGGACTTTCATCTTGCTTCATCCATGCAAAAGAGGAGGTGACCTGGGCCTTGAAAGTCTGTCTGAAACAAACACAAGTTGGAGCTGAGGCACCTTAAGTGCGATCTCATAAATTCTTGGTGCAGTTCTGGGGAGTACATGGGCCTGCAGAACTCTTTGGAAAGGGTGTCCTTAAGGGGGACTCCTGCACTCTTCTGGGCTTTTATTTAATCTGGCACTATGGGCTGCTTAAGCACATGGCAGGGAGAAAGTGGGGGCTTGCCCAAATGTTCTTGAAAACAATGTCTTTTGGACTGGTGCAAGACTTGATCCACACCTAGCCATACTACTGAGCCAGCCTGAAACGCTGGTTCAGTGTGTCATTGCATGTCAGGCACACTGCTGTCCTATTGCATTGTTTTTGCTGGTAACCATAAAGACTGGCTGAGAAACAGAGCTGAAAGTTTGTTCTCAGCTCTGCTGTCTGGCATTTTTACTCTGCAATTGAAAAAAATGAAACTGTCCTGGGTAGTGTCTTTCCCAAAAGCAGGGAGGAGTGCTGGGTTGATCATTTGGTCCTTGCTTTGACAGCAAATGTTCGTAGGGACATCTTTAAAATGAACACTGATATTACATTTCAGGGTTAGTGGGGTGGTGGTTAGGGGGTTTTGATTGATACAGCTGAGGGAAGGGAAGCCTCAGGTGGGAAGGACAAGCTGCTACATAACAACCAAAGGAGTTTGAGTGCAGAGAGGGGAAATCCAGATTAATTCAGATGAATTTCTTGTGAGCTTGAATCTGTAGTGTAGCTTTACACACCCTTTTTCCGCCCTCTGGTCTGCAGAGGCCAGAAGGCAATTTACAAGGGTGTCAGAGAGGGGTACTACTTTGCAGCCTTCCTACCTGTGGGAGACCATGAACTGTCCCAGGGACTGTGGGTAAATGGAACAGTTAAAGGTTTCCTAATGCTTGGCCACATCCCACCACCTGCTGTGAGCTGGGTCATTAAATCGTCCTCAAATGAGCCACACTTGTGAAGAAAAGCAGTCTGTGTGTTGCTCGTTATTTCCTTCAAGGCACTAACTAGTACCAAATCATAATGTTGCCAATGCAGCATCTGAACTTGCTGGATGGTGGGTCAGCCACTAGCATCAAAGTGACACCTAGAATGTTAGTTACTCCTCTCTAAACAGCGCACAACGTCCTCTTGGAGAATGCTGGATAAAATGAGTCCTGTAGAGAAACTAGAGTGAACTCCTCTCAAATGCCACATTTTCAGGTTTGTGCCTGTGTTTTTTCCCTTTTCTGCAGGAGAACTTCCAGTCTGTTTATAACTGGCAGTATATCCACTGCCTGTATTTCTGGTGTCGGGTTCTTAGCACAATCTATCCCAGTGAGGTCATGGAACCGTTGATCTATCCTTTGACGCAGGTCATCATTGGCTGTATAAAGCTTGTACCAACGGCTCGTTTCTACCCTCTGCGCATGCACTGCATCCGTGCACTTACACTGTTGTCTGAGAAGACCAGGACCTCCATCCCAGTGTTGCCATTTATCCTGGAGGTTTTCCAACAAGTGGATTTCCACAAGAAGCCAGGACACATAAGTGCTAAGCCTATAAACTTCGCAGTGATCTTGAAGCTTTCCAATGCCAACCTGCAGGAGAAAGCCTGCCGAGATGGACTCATTGAACAGCTCTATGACTTGATACTTGAGTATCTCCATTGCCAGGCCTACAGCACTGGATTCCCAGAGTTGGTTCTCCCCACTGTCATTCAGCTAAAACCTTTCCTGAAGGAATGCAAGATTGCCAACTACTGCAAGCCTATCCAGCAGCTCCTGGAAAAACTGCAGGAAAATTCTGCCTACATTGCCAGCAGGCTTCAGAAAGCTACCTTCGGTGTGGCCAGCAGGGAGTCTGTGGAACAATGGGAGAAGCAGGTCAAAGAGGAGGGGACACCTCTGACCAAGTATTATACTCACTGGAAGAAGCTAAGAGAGAAGGAGATACAACTGGAAATCAGCGGCAAAGAAAGACTTGAAGACTTTAACTTCCCAGAAATTAAGCATAAGAAGCAAGATGAAAGCAAGGAGGAAGATAAGGAATTCAAGGACCTCTAAAATTTTTTAAATTTAAAAAAAAAAAAAGAAAAACCTTAGAGGTCTCTTCCAACCTTAATGGTTCTATGATTCTATGATTCTATGATTACTATTGCAATGTTTCAGACATGTTACACTGGGGGCGGGGATAAGGAAAAAAAACAAAAAAACCCCTCACATAGAAAATAATTATTACATCTTAGTGTCACAGAAATGGTGGATGAGGCTAGAAGACCCAGTGCTGTAGAGTCCATACATAGTACATAGTATCTAATTTTCTGTGGAAGGGAAAATCTCTAAAAAAAAAAAAAGAAAAAAAAAATTGAAGGGAGCAACTTCGCCCAGATATGGGAAGGAGGACCAGACGGATGAATG